TGAAATGCATCCTGTTTTTGTTATCCCACCCCTGTAACCTATCCAGGTCTTGCTGCAGTCTTTCCCTCCCTACTAGCATGCTCACCTCACCCCAAATTTTGGTATCATCAGCTAATTTAAACAGGTTGCTTTTCACCCCGTCATCCAAATCACTGATAAAGAAATTGAACAGCATGGGCCCAAGGACTGAGCCCTGGGGGACTCCGCTGCCCACTTCCCCCCAGGTCGAATATGACCCATCCACCACCACCCTCTGAGTGCGACCCTTCAGCCAATCTGCAATCCATCTGACTGTGAGAGGTGCAGTGTGTGGCACCACCGACTCAATCCATGAGTCGGTGGTGCCACACACTGCACATCTTCGTTTGTCTGGACACGGCCATAGGATTTGGGAGGAACGTCAGAGATTCCCTGGTGATTCTGCACTATTACAGAGTCTGAGAACAGCTCTAAGGGAGGCTTAAACATGGACCAAGCCTTAGCATTCCTCCTTGTCTGGGAAGAACAAGGCATGAAGATGGCATGCAAGAGATGAGGATTCTGGAGATTGTTCTTTAATTAATTAATGTAATTAATTGTCTGAAACACTGAGTGTATTTATTCCTATCTGATTAATCTTGTGCGTTTTTTTCCTGTTGCTGCAGGTTTCACTTTGGCTATTATTTCACATCTTTTCTGCACCAGGAGTTCAATGTTTGCAGCTAAACTTCTTACTCATATGATGGTTGCCAGTTTGGGTGCTCAGGTAGGAAAAGACAAAATTTAAAGTCTCTGTATTTGAATTGAGGCACCCTTTCCTTATTCAGCTCCCTGTGGATGTTCCTGAATAGTGGAGGGAGGATTTTTTTTGTATTTTGAGAGGGAACAAAGCACAAGACATTTGTATTGTCAAATCACAAATGATTATAAAAATAACATTGATAATTAGGTGAAAATATACATTTTCAAACAGTATCCAGCAAATATTATTGCAATAATATTAAAACAACTGTGCTAACCATAATACTACACAATTCTTGATGTGGATGGTGGGAATATTCAATTTTAGCTGAGAATAAAAAGTGTCTGTGCTAACAACTTAATTTATTTATATCACTTAATGCTGAACAGACAGATAACATGAGAAGAGTTTGAAAAAGATTTAGTGTATGTTTTTCTATGAGCAATAGGGCATGGGGAAAAAAAATTTCCTGCAAATTACGGTAAGATGAAATTTCTAACAATGCAGGTTTACTATATTTAACACAGAGGTGCAGGTCTTGCTTGAGAATTATTGGTCATAATACAGTTAATGAAGCAACTAAATATGGTAGTACAGAGTTGACTGAACAGAAACATGGATTCCACGAGCTTTCAGGTGACTTTGGCAGTCTAATAGTACATGATGTCAGCAAAGTTCAGGTTTCTGAAATGGGGGGTGCAGGAGAGGCCACCAGAGCTGCAGGGGTATCTGCACCCCCTGTTCCCACCCTCCCTCTCTTTCACTGCAGTGACAGACTACCATGGGAGCAACAGCCAGAGACTTTCAAAATAATCCTCCTCCCTTACAGCACTCTGTCTCTTCCCCTCTGTGCTTAGTGGCATCTCCCCTCCCCTTGTGTTCCTTTCCTTTTCCTCTCCACTTATGCCTCTGGGTACAGGAAACAGAGCTGCTGATCTGGCCACTTTTGCCCCACTTCAGCTGGGGCTCTGGAGAGGCTGGCTGAGCCAGGGACAGCAGTGGGGTTTTCTTTTCTGCAAATGCTTCTGGGTTTGCAGGGAATACTGAGGAAGAGCAGGAAGGGAGAGGGGAACCTGCCCACTACCCCGACTGCTGCTGTCCCTGGCTGAGCCCAGCTTCCTGACCAGCCACACACTGCAGCACCAGCTGGAGAGAGGCAGGAGCCACTCTGGGGCTCCTCTTACCCCATGGACACTGGTGACAGTGGGGTTTCCGCCTTATACCCAGCAGTCTCAGGGGTGGGAAGGAGGAGAGGAATATAGGAGGGAAAGTGAGGACGGAGAGGAAGGGGAGAATTCTTATCTGGTTTGGAAACTTTTTTGCTACATTTTGGTGCATTTTCCATATACCTCTGTGTATATTGGCAAGTTTTATCCCTTCAAGAGCTTCCTGGTTCAACATTTCTGTATGCCTGTATGTTGAACAGAAAGAACAATAGAAATAGATAATGAACAGGTGCATGAGCTGGGCAATAAATAATTAATATTTTGCTCTAAAAAAGAGTGGTTATTGCAATACTGCTTTTATACCTGTGGCCATGTGTGTAGAATAGAGTGGCTAGATTCCAGGCTGAGCTCTCCATTAAACAAATCAAAAGTACTTATCAAGAAAAGTATATGCTAGCAGCAGCCCAAATGGGCTTGTGTTAAACTTGTGGATCTTTTTGTACTCTTTTTGTGATCCATCTTGGCTCTGGTCTGGCCTAGCTTCTGCTTCATTAAATATTTGTAGAGACCCGTTTTCCTTAATTAGAGTTTACTTGGCTGCATTCACCAACTCTTTAGATTTTGGCATCAGTATTTTCACAGGGCTTAATTATAGTAACTTCAGATTGAAAGCACTGTACACATGCCCTAGCAGACAAACTGAGGTTTGCTTATGTCTAAAGACATACAAAAAACTCTGAACAAAAACAAAGTGGTAGTGTGTGTGTGTGTGTGTGTGTGTGTGTGTGTCTTATTTAGACTCACCTATTACAAGAGTGGACTGGAGGATAGGCTTGGGTAGTAGTCTGAGATGATGTGATCCACATTCAACCCCTGCTTTGCCTAATTTGAAGCAGAATTGTTTTTTCTGTTGCAGATCACTTCTGATCAGACAAAGAATAGTCTTGATCTAGGCTCCTACCTCTCTGGTCAGTACTCTGACTATTGTAGAACTAGTCTCCATTGCCCTTATCCAAAAACATTATGAATGAAAGTTTATGCAAAACCAGTACAAGCCTGTTAAATGCTTCAAATTTAGTTAAACAAACACCTTGAGAATGAAGGCTATATTGAGCAATACAGTCTAAAAATGCTTCCTTGGATTTTTCTGTCTTTTCCTGTTAAATTGTGAAATCCTGTTAAAATTTTGAACATTTGTATTTTCAAGTTTGTTTCATGTTGAGACATCATATTAAAAATGCCAGACATTAGACCAGTGGTGGGAAAAATATGGCCCAGGGGTGGGAAGGACTTTGTCTGGCCCACGGTGGGTCCCTCAGTCCTGCCTGGCCCAGGTGCTCTCTGGCTGGTAGTGCATCCTGCTGCTCTCTGAGCATGCAATGGGGCTGCAGCTGGGCTTCCTTTCTAGGTACCAGCTCCTTCTTGATGCTGCCACCATGGGCTCCATCCCTGTGGTACTGGTGGAGACCCATGTATATAGCCCCAACCCCAACCTGCCCCACACCTACTCCAGACTCAGCCTGGTGGAGTGGACCAGCTCCAGACCAGTTGAAACCCACATGCACAGCTCCAATTCTGGTCCACCGCGCTCCTGCTCTGGACTCACCCACTCATGTTGAGCAGCTGTGGCAGCAGCTGAGCAGAAGCTGCTGCTCAGCATGGGGTAAAAAGCCCTTCTTGTTGCAGCTGCCCAGAGCCCCTGCCAAGGCTGACCTGTAGCTCTTCTGCATTGCCACCACTGCCCTACTGGCCGGCCTGGAGGCAGCAGTGATGGTGGTGGAGAGGAGCCGTAGGGCAGCCTAGGCTCAGGCTCTGGGTGACTGCGGCAAGAAGAGCTTGGCAATGATGAGGGGGAGGGGTTGCTTTTCCCTCATGCTGAGCAACAGCTTCTGCCTGGCCACTGCTGCTGCTCAGCATGGGCAGGTGGTCCGGAGCAGGCGCAGGGTGGGCTGCGTTCAGGGCTGTGTATGCTGGTTCCAGCTGGTCTGCTCTGGCTGGGGTGAATCTGGATCAGGCTCTGGGCCAGGGTCAGCTGGGGCTGTACGCTGTTAGTGGTGCTGGGGAGGAGCCACAGTGTGCATGGGCTCTGGGCTGTTGTGGGTGGGGGGTACTGATCAGCATTAGACTCAAATTGCAGCCTAGCAGTTCATGTCAGATAATAGTCCCGTCTCCTCTGGTCTGTCACTGAAGGGTTACTTCCCTCTGGACAAAGATTAGAAGCAGTTCAAGCAAAGTTGACAAATTAAGTTCCTCTTCCTACCAAGAGTTCTGTGATTATGGAACAGCATCTGTACATTCATTCAATTCTTGGCATTTTTAAAATTTTTCTTTCTTGAATTTATGCATCTTGGGGAAGCTGTGAATTATCTTTTTCTTTTACCCTTTTTCTGTTCTTTCATTTAAAAAACTGGAACTTGGCACAACAGTCAAGGTAATGCAAATAAGGAAAAAGAATCTGAAATGCACATGCCTCATGGAATAGAAAAATATGAGAGGTAGTAAGAGGAAAGTGGACTTATGATGGGTAATGGATGACAAAGTAGGCATGGGTTTGTAATGCAGCTTACTTAAATACTCCAGTAATGCAAGTATAGAGCTATCATTTCATGAAGTAGGAAGACTGTAGTGTGTGTTCAAGTGTCTGGTGCACAGATTAATGGATTTAGTTCTAATCACTGCTTTAGAACAGGGGGTTGGCAGCCAGATCCAGCCCATGAAGCCATTAGATCCGGTCCATGGTTGTGGGGCTTCAGTGACATTCAGCAGCAGGGGGCTTTGGCAGCACTCACTTGCCCTCCTGCCATGGGAAGAAGCTTTAGTTGTGGACCATTTCCCTGTGCCACCACAGGGAAAAGTAGCAGCAACAGGCACTATGCCTATGCCACTGTGGAAGAAAAGCAGCAGCAGCATCTGGGTCATAGTGGCCACCTTCCCACCTACCTCTGACCTGAACTGGATCATTGCAGACTGCAGCCTGAAAAAGGTGCTGACCACTGCTCTACAAGGGAAGGGAATACAAAGGAAGCAAGGGAATGTAAAGAAAAGCCAGGAAAATGATGGACCAGCCTGAGGCCTTTATCTGCTCAGTACTTTATGCATGTGTTTCCTCCCCTGTATGCTTATCACAATTCTGTTAACCTGACTATACAATTCAAGTCCTATATTTTTTATTAATGCTATATATTTTGGCAATTCTACTGGTAGACAATCTTACTCCTTTCCCCAATTGCTTTACTTCCACTGATAATGCAGTCTTCAAAAACAAGTCCTCATTCCATTTTGCTGTGTTGGAGGCCTTGTATGAAGGGAGTGACCATGTCTAAAGCAGCCAGCAAGGTTGAGGATCAATAGGAGGGAGGGCATCTGCAAGGGCAGTTGTGTAGACACTTAATTTCTGCGAATGCAGGAAGGAGTGGCCGCCTGGAGAGCAACTATTTAGGAGGACAAAATGGCTTCACAGTACAGAGAAGGTGGAAAGGAGGTGTTCAACAGGAGCCAAATGAACGCAGCTGCTGAACAACTTGAAGGGATTTGCTAATCACCTATGGATGGCAGGCCTATGGTCTTCCCTAAAGTAGTGCTGGCCTTGGCTGGAGAGTTTAAGTTGTGAGAAAAACTAAATATATATAATCTAGCTAAGTGACAACAAATGAGGAACATAATATAAGCCTACAAAGGGAGCGTAGGTATAACAGGAAATTCAGAATGTCATTTTAAGTTTTTGATTTTAGCAAACTAAGGAACCTGTATGATGGGTGTTTATTCTGAGACATTTATGTTAACATTTGGACTGTTGTTATATGAGAATCTGTACTAAAAGGCCCCCTATATAAATACAGAGAAAGTGCTAATAGAAAT